ACTTTTCATAAACATTAATTCTAATTACATATCTATTGTGGCAAATTATTGCGAATAATTCCAATACCACAAAATGGCAGATGAAAAAACACAAAGATGACATTAGCAAGACTTACAACCTGTAATCCCAGCACTTTGGGAGGCCAAGGCAGGAGGCCCATTTGAGGCCAGGAGTTCAAGACCTGCCCGGCCAAGATGAAGAAACCCATCTCTACTAAAAATACAAAAATTAGTCGGATGTGGCGACACGCGCCTGTAATCCCAGCTACTCGGGACAGTGAGGCTGAAGAATCTCTTGATCTCAGGAGGCAGAGGCTGCAGTGAGTTGAGTTTGTGCCACCGCACCCTAGCCTGACAACAGAGCAACACTTCGCCTTAAAAAAAGAAAAAGAGCTGGGTGCAGTGGCTCACGCCTGTAATCCTAGCACTTTGGGAGAACGAGGTGGGTGGATCACCTGAGGTCAGGAGTTCAAGACCAGCCTGGCCATCATAGTGAAACCTCATCTTAAAAAAAAAATAAATAGCCGGGCGCGGTGGCTCACGCCTGTAATCCCAGCACTGTGGGAGGCCGAGGCGGGCGGATCACGAGGTCAAGAGATCGAGACCATCCTGGTCAACATGGCGAAACCCCGTCTCTACTAAAAATACAAAAAATCAGCTGGGCATGGTGGCGCGTGCCTGTAATCCCAGCTACTCAGGAGGCTGAGGCAGGAGAATTGCCTGAACCCAGGAGGCGGAGGTTGCGGTGAGCCGAGATCGCACCATTGCACTCCAGCCTGGGTAACAAGAGCGAAACTCCGTCTCAAAAAATAAATAAATAAATAAATAAATAAATAAAATAAGTAAAAATAAAAGAACGAACGAACGAACGAATGAACAGATGAGTGAACTTGGCCCAGTGTGGGGCAAGACTGGCCTGAGTGTCACAGCCACGAAGGTGCTGGGCCAGGACTGGGGCTCTGGTCTGGGAAGCTGTCCCTGTCATCATGCTGGTTTCCCTATACTGGAGCCGGCTCAAGGCAAATCCCAAGTGCTCCATCTCCAGAAGAAAAGGACCGTGGGCCGTGGGGACGCTGAGATTCAGGTACCAGGAGTCAGCTGTGACTCCTGCCACCTGACTCTGAGTCTTCCTCCCTCCCACAGCCCACCTCCATAGCAAATGTTGTCCCCTCTACTTCCAGAATCCCTCTGAAATCTACCCACTTTCCCTGCTGTGGGTGCCTACAGCCTCGCTCTCATCGAGGTTGCCATCATCAGCTGTCCGGACAACTGTGCCGCCCTTCCCTGCTGCCGCTCCTGCCTACCCCTCTCCACCCCTTCTCCACCTCCAAGCCAGAAAACTTGCAAAGAAGTCAGTCCAGTCCGCGTCACTCCCCTGCCCAAATTCCTCTCAGGCCTCCCCACCTCCCTCCTCGACTAATGACCAACATCTAATGTGCCGAGCGCACAGGAGCCGGTAGGATCTGGTCTCTCGTTACCTCCCCGCCGCCTCCCTCACCGGCTACGGGCTCTCCCTCGAACCACCCGGTCCCCTGTATGAAACGCCTCTCGCCTTCCTTCCGCTGCCTGGTTAATTCCGACTCGTGGCCAGCTGTTCCCTTCTCCAGGAAGCCCACCCCGAGTACGTCAGGGGGCTCTCAGCTCCCCGAGATCTCCAACCGTCGGGATCTCTAACTCCTCGGAGAAGTAGGAGCCGGATCCCCAGCGCTGCTCCCGCAGCGACCCTACCTGCGATCCCGGCTCCGCCGTCTCCGTCTGTGTCGTCCCTCGTCCTCCCGGCGCCGCCGGTTTCGCCGACCATGGCTCCTGCTCCGACTTCGGCTCCCGCTCTGACTCCGCTGCCTCCGGCCTCGGCGACCCGCGGACCGGGAGCGCGAGCGCGTATCCCGACCCATCGGCTGGGCCGGTGGCCGCGGCGCCGACACGAACAGCCGGGACCTGCGTCGGGGGCCTTCCTTGCTCGCGGCGCGTTCCGGGCTGCCTCATCCTTGCCTGAACCAGGAGAGAGCAACTCATCCTGCCTTCCCAGGCCGCGAGGACTCCGACCCCCCAGATTCTCTCCTCCATCTGCAAATGTGGGTCGCACGATGGACTCCGGTGGGATCGTCACCTCCAGAGTGGCGGAGTCTCCCTTCAGGCAGTCCTGGAGGCAACCTCAGGCAGGTCCTCGCGCCTCAGGGGTCGGAGAGACTGCGGGCGGGGCAAGAGCAAATTAGGAAATTCGTGATGGGCGGAGCCTGCGGAGGCGGGACCTATAAGAGGAGGGTCTAGGACGGAAGTGGCGTTTCACGGGCGTGGCCAAGGAGAGGCGTGGCCAAGGAGAGGCTTGTCCGGGAAGCAAGGTTTCCGAAAGGCGAGGAATCAGGAATGTTTTAGTGTCCAGGCAGCTCCAAAAGGGAGAGGGTGGGCGCAGGGACGGAAACAAAGCCTTCCTAGGAGAGTCATCGTTATGCTCCATCACTTGCCAATGAACGCCTGTGATTTTTGGGAGTTAAGTTTTTTTTTTTTTTTAAGTTGTAGTCTTGCTCTGTTGCCAGGCTTGTGTGCAGTGGCGCGATCTCGGCTCACTGCAACCTCCGCCTCCCGGATTCAAGGGATTCTCCTGCCTCAGCCTCCTGAGTAGCTGGGATTGCCGGCAAGCGCCACCATGCCTCACTAATTTTTTGTATTTTTAGTAGAGACGGGGTTTCATCATGTTGGCCATGCTGGTCTTGAACTCCTGATCTCAGGTGATCCACCCGCCTTGGCCTCCCAAAGTTCAGGGATTACAGGCGTAAGCCATCGCTCCCGGCCGGGAGTTAAAATTAAAAAAAAAAAAAAAAAAAAAAAAAAACCCAAAAACTTGGATAACTTCCTGTAGTCCCTCATCAACCCATTTTAGAGATGGGGAAGCTGAGGCTCAGAGAAGGAAAGTCACTTTTGACACCTGCCTTCTCAACCCAGGCTGCCCAGCTTTGCGGCGTGGGTGCTGCGGACCTGTGGGAGGGTTTTGAGCAGGGTTTGGGGGACTTGCTGCTCAAATACGTTTGGCATGGGGAAGAAAGACTTCAGGGGCAAGGCTGGAGGCCAGCGCCCTGGAAGATGCTGATGTCCCATTCTGAGCTTCTCCAGCCCATGTTTGATGCTACTACCATCCCTTGCAGTTCTAACCGGTCGGGGCTGGGAGGGGCTGTTTTGGGGGGATGAAAACAGTTTAAGCTAACCTTTAAAATGTTTATCTTGGCCATAGTGGCTCACGCCTGTAATCCCAGCATTTAGGGAGGCTGAGGTGGGTGGATCACGAGGTCAGGAGATGGAGACCATCCTGACCATTTTCACATAGTGAAACCCTGTCTCTATTAAAAATACAAAAATTAGAGGGGCGTGGTGGTGCATGTCTGTAATCCCAGCTACTTGACAGGCTGAGGCAGGATAATCCCTTGAATCTGGGAGGCAGAGGTTGCAGTGAGCCAAGATTGTGCCACTGTACTCCAGCGTCGTGACAGCGAGACTCTGTCTCAAAAAAAAAAAAGTTTATTTTGAGTTGGGTGCAGTGGCTTATGCCTGTAATCCCAGCATTTTGGGAGGCCGAGGCGGGTGGATCACTTGAGATCAGGAGTTTGAGACCACTTGGCCACCATCTCTACTAAAAACACAAGAATTAGCCGGGCATGGTGGTGTGCTTTTAATTCCAGATACTCGGGAGGCTGAGGCAGAAGAATCGGGAGATGGAGGTTGCTGTGAGCTGAGATCGCACTAATGCACTCCAGTCTTGAGCGAAACGGCAAGCCTCTGTCTCAAAAAAATAAATAGGCAAGGTGTTGTGGCTCATACCTGTAATCCCAGCCCTTTCGGAGGCCGAGCTGGGTGGATCACCTGAGGTCAGGAGTTCGAGACCAGGCTGGTCAACATGGTGAAACCCCATCTCTACTAAAGATACAAAATTCAGCCAGGTGTAGTGGCGGGCACCTATAATCCCAACTACTCAGAGGCTGGGTAAAACTACTTGAACCTGGGAGGTGGAGGTTGCAGTGAGCCGAGATCGTACCATTGCATTCCAGCCTGGGCGACAGTGAGACCCCCATCTCAAAAACAAAACAAAAACACCCCCAAAAGCTAGATCACCTTTATGTTCAGTTTATAAAACAGCTGTGCTGAAAATGGTGGTGTTCCCAAGGGCTCCCTTACAGATAGGATCTTACTTTTCCTCTTTTTTTTGACAGTCTTGCTCTGTTGCCCAGGCTGGAGTGCAGTGGCACGATCTCAGCTCACTGCAGACTCTGCCTCCGAGGTTCAAGCAATTCTCTGGCCTTAGCCTCCTGAGCAGCTGGGATTACAGGCATGAGCGACCACGCCTGGCCAGGATCTTACTTTCCATGTAGTTTCTCAATGTGGGAGTCCAAGAGAAATGTTTTCAAGCGGTCCAACCGTGACTGAATTTGAACTGCTCTAGCAGAGCAAATACAAACGTTGGGGGGCTGCAGTGACAGCGGAAGCATAAAATGTTTTCTGGGCTGAGCTGGGACCTGAAGGAGGTTCACAGCCGTGAAGGTGTTTGGGTCCTATTACCGGTATTAGCATCAATCTCACAAAGGTTGCTTTCCTGAGATTCAAAGTCAGTCCTCAGGCTGGGTGCGGTGGCTCACGCCTATAATCCCAGCACCTGGGAGGCTGAGTCGGGCAGGTCCTTTGAGGTCAGGAGTTTGAGACAACACAATGAAACTATGTCTCTACTAAAAATACCAAAAAATTAGCCGGGTGCAGTGGCAGGTGCCTGTAATCCCAGCTAGTGGAGAGGCTGAGGCAGGAGAATGACTTGAACTTGGGAGACAGAGGTTGCAGTCAGCTGAGATCTCACCACTACACTCCAGCCTGGGCGACAGAGTGAAACTCCATCTCAAAAAAAAAAAGAAAAAGAAAAAAAAAAAGAAAAACTCAGAAAACAAAACACAAAACAAAATCAGTCCTCAGACTCCCAACCAGACTTCCAGAACCCACAGAGAGGCAGACAAGTGAGCGGATGCTTATTACCCGATTTATTAGAGATCTCTTTGACATAAAAAGAGGGGGTGTGGCAGGGATGGGTGGGGCAGGGGATCTGGGCTGCATACCAGTGTTGTCTGGGGCCAGGAGTGGCTGTATGGTTTCAGAGGCGCCCACGGCTCTGGGTTTGAGGGACACAGCACCCTCATCTCTGCCACAAGGCGCAGCGCTTCGGATTGTCACGCACCAGACCACGGGGCGGAGCAATGGAGCAGAACCCCGGGGCAGTTAAGACACGCGAGGTTTGCAGTTTAATTTTGTTTCGGAATCAGTTCGGCCATAAAAATGGGACTGGGGTGGAGACAGGCAGAGCAACTGAGCCGCCAGAGGAGGGGAAGGAGATGGCGGGCGCCTGTCCTGGGGTGGGGACTGAGGGGCTGTGGAGACAGTACCATGGTGAAGGACCCCACGGCCATGGGAGTATTGCACTGAGCCAGGTGTCAGGGGAACGGGGACATGTCGGGATGGCTGAGGGGGACGGAGCCTGGCAGGGGACACATGGAAGTTTCCACCTTGTCAGTCTCAGAGGAAACACCTTTTAGTCTTTACAGTACAGGAATTCGGACACTGTCCACATTCTCAGTGGACAGCAGCCCTTAGAGGTGAGCCAGGAGGGGAAGTGGGCATTGGTCACCAAGGTATTTACAGACTTCCATCATGGGGGGCAGCGGGGTGGGTCCAGGGCCTCTCTCTCGGGGTCTGAGGGAGGCCGAGTTCGCTAACTATTATAAATAGGTCTTGCCGTCCTCCCGCCCTGCCCCTCGGCACAGTCAGTGGAGCACGTCAGCCTCGGTTTACAGTTCTCTGAGAAGGAACCAAACAACGCAACCAACACGAAGTCAGTCTCCAAAGGAGTCTTGGAGACAACACGAAAATAGAAATGTCAAGATAGCCACAGAGGTTTGCAAATTTCTCCGGCAAGTGTGCGTCGGCCGGGCACTGGTGTCACGTGACTCACTCAGCAGAGGGAGGCCACCCTGGACGTGGTGCGGGGCCACACCTGCTGCTCAGAGTCACCCCCACAGGCTCCTGACGTCTCTGGTGCCAGGGCTCTGGGCAGAGGGACTTGAGGACTCCCTGGGAGGCTCAGTGTGGCCTCCGGGGATGCGGGCCTTTGAGATGATGACGCCCCTGTCCCCCTTGGTCATCCAGGTCCCAGACACCCCTTCTGACCTATGCCCCCAACCTCCCTGGGGTGCCCACTGGGTGTCCTTTGGAGGCATAAGGCGGGGGCTGATTGGTGGGCGGCTGGTACCAGCAGACGGGCACCAGGCTGTGAACTGGGGCCAAGGTCACTTCCCAGGGCTGGACAGACCCTCTGAGCAGGCAGGGAGGACCCTACATTGGCTTGTCCTGATGGGTGCTGGGAGCCACGCGGGTAGCTGGTTCCCGTGGAGGGTCGTCCCCTCTCCTGGGCAGAGACTCGAGGGCTGGCTTGTGTGGAGTGTACCCTCACTGGGGGCCTTGGGGAGGGGCCGGCTTCTCTGCAGGCACAGTGCGTGGGCTGCGAGGGAGGCCAACGTGATGGGAACAGCAGGTGGCACCGTGTCGCACGGAGCTTGCCATAGACAAAACACAGACCCCTGCCTGGGAGGTTCTCTGGCCACCTCAGACCCCACACCCGGCTCTGCCAGGGCGGGAGAAGCATTTTTCCTGAAGGTGCGGCTTCTGCTCTGGGCCACCCCAGCTCCTCCCATCCTGGGCACGTCTCGGCAGTGGGGAATCCCTACGCCCATCACCAACAAGCCCCTCTCAAGGGTCCTAGGGAAGAGCAGGGTGGGCAGCTGCCCAGCTCTGGGCTCTGACCAGCACCTCTAAGCGCTGCGGGCCCAGGAAGCTGCCCAGACCGGTCTGGGCTCGGTCCCAACGCTGGGATCGCTGCCCTGCTGGAGAGTCACAAGCCAGAAACAGTCTTCTCTCCTCTCCTCGGAGACATCACATCACTCAAACAAGAAAGGCAGGGGACACCAGGCCAGTCCTGAAGGCGATGCCTGCGGAGCCCGGCCTGCGCCGCTAGCCCATGCCTCCAGGCGGAGGGGGCCGGGAGCCCGATCTTCCGCCCTAAGCTGGTGTCCTGTGTCCCAAGGCCCGGCCTCCCGCTCTGTCCAGCCTGGAAGAAAGTGTCTCTGTCGCCGTACCCTCCATCGCAGTTGCTCGGTAGCCGCCATCAGAAACGAAGGACGAATCCCGAGCCCTAAGCTCCGCCCGAGGGGGTGGCGGCCGGGGCAAGAGGAGGCCTGGCCCTCCAGATGCGGTGCTCTGGATTGGAGGTGCTGGAGGTTCTTGCTCGAGGGGCACCTGGGAGGTGGGCGCCAGGGCCCCACTGTGGCGGGAGCACAGATGCTGAGCGGCCACAGTGCTCGGCAGGGTGAGGGCTGTTCCCACAGCTGACACTCAGGTCACATGTCCTGCATTGAGGCCCCCAAACCCGAGCTGAGGGTGGGAGGGTCCGCTTCCCAGCTAGATGGAGGCGGAGTGGGTGGGACCATACCCTTGGCAGGCCCATGGGGTCCCTGGGGCTCAGGTCCCCAGAGGCCACTGGGAACAGCCTGGCTCCCTCAGGACACATGCAGGCACAGCAAAGAACCAAGGAGTGCAGTGGATGGGGTTCTTCTTTGTCTGTTTCGTGTGTGTGTCTGTTTTGTTCTTTTCCTAAAAGCGAACACGCGCTTCCGTCTCTGTGCAGAGCAAGGACTCAAACGCGATTTGCCGCTCGGGAGGGCCGGTCTCGCGGGGGCAGGCCGCCGACGGGGGAAGGGGCCTGACCGTCGGCATCCGTGCAGGGGGAGGACGAGGTCCGGTGGGCGGCGAGGCGGGCGTCTCCCGAGCTCCGGGCCTCAGCGGGGTGGGCGGCGCCTCTGGGGGCGGCCGGAGCGGAAGCGGTGCTCGGCGCTGGGTCGGGGACTGCATAGAAATTACTGCAAGAGCAAGAGGGCGGGTGAGGGTGGGAGGTGGGCGGCTCAGGGACCCCCCAGCCACCCGCCAAGCCCCCTGCCAGGGACTGGCTTCCTTGGGCCAACACAGGCCCCGAGACACTGACCCCACAGCCACCCCAGCGCCAGAAAGCCCAAGGTGGAGCTCTGGGCGGCCTGTGCCCTCCCGCCCGGGCCTCAGTCCCTGTCTGTCCCGGAGGCTGGGGACCGCGCTCAGTAGAACCTCGGACCCCGCGGGGCCAGCGGGCGCGCCTGGGCCGCACTTACTGTGTCGCTCTCGCCGTCGGAGGCCGGGGGGGCCTGCGTGCTATAGTGGAGCGGGGAGTACACCCAGCTCCTCTCATCGGTGGGCTGGCGGGTGGGCGCGTGCAGGAGGGCGCAGAAGAGCAGGGTGCGAGGAGGCGCGAGAGAGGCAGAGGGAGAAGGAAGAGACAGGAGAACATAAAAGAGGCGAATCCCCCATGGAGGACGAGGGGCGGCTCGGCCCGGCTGCCCCTTTGACCTGGTGGACCCGCTCCCAACCTGGATGGGCCTGGGGCCTCCGCTCAGTGTGGCAGGGGGCGGGGGGGGGGGGCGGCGGCAGAAAGCGGTTAGTTCAGTCGAAGCAGGGCCTGAGACAGTGGGTGACAGAGCCGGCGGAAGCGCGTTGGGGTCGCGACCTGGAACCCGATTGTTCCTCCTCCTCCTCCACAGCCCATCCCCACCGCAGCCCCCAGTCCTGCCTGCGACACGGGCACCAGCGCACGGGCTCCTAGGGGCTCTCTACGGGAGTCCTGGGAGGTCGGAGTGCTGGAGCTACTTCCTGACACAGAAGCCTTTCGGGACTTTGAACACACGGCTGCCTGTGCGTGGGCAGGGCCAGCCCCCTCTGCCCACACAGGTGTGCTCAGGAGAGACTGAGGCTCGGGCTACTTGCCCTCTAAGAGCCCAGAAGGACACAGGGACAGGCAGGTCCAGGGCAAGGGACAGGCAGAGCTGTCCCCAGCTGTGCCCGAGGGAGGGGTCCCCAGTCTGGGTGAGATCTAGTGGGGAGGGAAGGTGCGTCCCTCCAACACCCTCGCCCTGCCCCGGGTCTCCAGCTCCCCCTGCTCCGCCTGCCCCAGGCTGCTTCCGCAAGACTCCAGCCCGGCCTCCCCGGCCTCCTCCTACATCCTCCTCTGTCTCCTGTCACTGCCCTAGCCTTCAACGCCCCTCCTGGCACAGAAGACCTGTGATTTCCACCGGGCCTGCCTCGGCCCCCGTGTGCCAGGCCTGAATACACACCTGCCTGGCCACGTCCACCTGGTGTCCCTCAGCCCCTACACTTGTCACAGCCACAACCCCACAACCCCATCACCCCATCACCCCACGACCCACTGCTCGTCCTTCCAATCAGGACAGCGTTTTATCCATCTGCGGACCAGGCCAACCCACACCGCTTCATCAGACAAGCGCCCTGCCTGTGCCAGCTCCCAGGTGCCCAAGCTTCACCTGGGGGGGCACCCTCTCTCCTGCCTCGAGCCCCACCTCCGCACTCTCTCCCAGGGCCCAGCTCTGTGCTCGTGCCACCCTGCCCAGTCCTACAGCTTCCACCAGACCCCTGTTCCCAGACCTTGGGCACCGAGCTCCCACCCCTCGAAGCCAAATCTCAGAGGACTGACTCCGGCACCAATGTGCTGGGACCCCAGCAGAGGCCTCGCCTGTTCCTCCAGGAGGATTGCACGTGCAGCATGGAATCCCCGATGTGAAAATGGCGGGTCCAGCCCACCCCGTGTCCCTCGAGGGCCTGGCGTGGGGAGCCACCCTGGGTGCTCGGTACTGATTTGGTGGCTGACTGATGGCTCCCATGGGGACTTGAAACTGTGGGGCCAAAACCGGGTCCCCACCGGAAAGAGCTGGCCCACGGGGAGGAGGGTGGCAGCAGCTGCCTCAGAGCTGCTCTCCAGGGTCGGAGGGTGGGGGGCGTCTTGGGTGGCACTGTGCACATAGCACCTGGGCATGGACAGCAGTATCCCTCTCCTACTGTGTTATAAATGGGGGTACAGGCCAGGTGTGGGGGCTGATGCCTAGAATCCCAGCACTTTGGGAGGTCGAGGCAAGTGGATCACTTGAAGTCGGGAGTTTGAGACCAGCCTGGCCAACATGGTGAAGCCCTGTCTACTGAAAATACAAAAATTAGCCAGGCCTGGTGGCAAGCGCCTGTAACTCCAGCTACTCAGGAGGCTGAGGCAGGAGAATCCCTTGAATCCAGGAGGCAGAGGTCGCAGTGAGCTGAGATCATGCCATTGCACTCCAGCCTGGGACACAAGAGAGACTCCATCTCAAAAAAAGCAAAGGGCAGGACAGCTGACTTCCTTGTCCTGCAGGAGTTGCGGCGACAGAAAGGGACCCCCTCAGCCACCAGCCGGGCAGGCAGGGGAAGTGGGGGGCAATGGCAGCTGGGACCCAGAACCAAGGGCAGAGCCTCGCCAGCACTCAGGCCGTGGGGTGTTCTGAATGGCCGTCCTGCCTCCCCCCTGGCCCCCACACTTCTGCTCCTGCTGTGCCTGCTGCTGCTGAGACCAGCGACAACTTCTGCCCCTTCAAACCCGGTGTTTTCCAAAGTCCAGGCAGCCCGCTCACTGGCAGCCTGTGCAAACTGCTTCCTGCCTGCGGTGCGGTGGCCGGCAGGGCTGGCTCTCTCTCCAGGGCTCCACCCTCCCAGCAGGCCTGATGGGCAGCTCCTTGTCCATCTCTGGGGCATGGCTTGGAGGGTGGCTGGCTTCCTGTTGGCCCCGTGGGATGGAGCTGCCTGGTGTAGCCGGGGAGGTGGCCTCCACCTCTGGGGTCACTCCAGAGTGCCTGGCACACAGCGGTGCTCACAGGCATGTGCTGATGGGCGGGGAGCCAGGGCGGCCTCCAAGGGGGCTTTGTCTCCAGGAGACACTCCTGCTTCAGGTCTGCACCCCATTCTGGCTGTTCAGTGCTGGGCAGGTTTCTTGGCCTCTCTGGTCCCTGGTTTTTTGGTCATAATGACAACAGCAGGCCCTGAGGATCCTACAGCTAGCTACATGGGGCCCATGTAGTGTCCATGGGAGACTCCTTGAGAGCTCGGGTACCTGGATTTTGACTAAACCATGTGGTCTCCCAGGCTGGCTGAGGCCTCAGCGTCCCTACCTGTGAGGTGGGTGTGGAGACAGCATCTCCTCCCATCTCCATGGCCCTACAGTTTGGAGCCCAGCCCTGTGGCCACTCTGCTGACCTGTGCGACCTCCCCCACGCTGCCAGCAGATGTCCCTTGGGGGCCAGGGCAGCCAGGTCTGTACGAATGAGAAGCGTCCACCTGAGACACCCTGACCCGGAAGTGCTGGGTCCAGGGGCAGGCTGTGGGCCTCAGCTGTGCAGCTGGCGATGGTGCCGCCCTATGGAGCGCCCGGTTCAATGCGGGACCAAGTGACATTCCCGGCGATGCACACAGCTCGGTGCCTGGCCCGGACCCAGCCTGGCTGACCTCAACTGCAGCCATGATTTCCCCAAAGCCCTTCTGGAAAACAGCGGACGCTGGATCCTGTGCTTCCGGCTGGGGACCTGCGGCTCCCTCTGCCCGAGGGGCACTGCCCCTTCTCCCCAGGGTGGCCGGCTGCGGTCACTTACAGTCCCCGAGGCGCTCAAGGTCACGGCCCGCAGTCGGCGATGGCGGGGAGAGTAAATCCAGTACCTCCCATCCGTGAACTGGCCGGGCGGGCCGGGCGGGCGGGAGGAGGAAGGAAAACAGAGGACAGTGGATGAGGCGGCGACCCCGCGGTCGGACGGGAGAGGCGGTGGGAGCGGGTGGGGACAGCTGAGTGCCAAGCGGAGGCGGGGTGCAGGGCAGGGTCGGGACTGAGGCCTCCCTTCTCCTTTCTCTGCTGCCCACCCTGCAGGGCGTCAGGACACAGACACACAGCAGGATGTGGCCCCGGGCCCCGTACCATCCGGAGACCAAGACACGCACAAACCAGCCCTGGAGAGAGGGGTGGCGACATGGGGTGGGTGGGGGCAAAGGCACGCGGCCTGCCCCTCCCTTCTCCAGGGCCAGGTGGGGGCACAGGGACCCCATAGGCACCCCTGGAGATAGCAGGGGAGTTAGAAAGCAGCCAGTGGATGCCCCCAAAACAGGTCCTGAGGCCTGGTGCCCGCACCCTGCCCACCGTCCCGGGGGTGCTGGATGAGGACAGGCTGTCTGGGAATCAGGCTGCAGCCTCCCGCCCTCCCTGTGACCTGAGGCTGCCTGACCCCTGAGTGGGGCCACTGAGGAGTGCAGATGCTGCCTGGACATCCCAGGCCTCGCTGGCTACCCAGCAGCCACCTCGTCCAGACCCTGGCAAAGGGCAGGCGGGATCCCAGGTCCCCAGGGCCGGGCAGACCCAGCCCTGCCCAGGAGCAGCCCCAAGTCCCCAACACGCGGCGTGGGAGCAGGGAGCCCTCCTGCCACTGCCTGTCACCCGGCCCTCCTCAAGGACGAGCCCACCTGGCCATGCCCACGGCGACAGGAAAAAGGTCCTGTTGCCACAGCCCTGCCTGGACATCTAGGCTGTCAAGGGCGCTGGGCTGTGGCCTATGCCGGGGCCTCCCAAGGGGCTGAGAGTCTGAGGATTCTGGATGACTCCCATGGAGATGGGTGGCACAGAAGGTGCCGTGGGCACAAGGCTGGGGAGGGGACAGGGCAGCTCTGGAGCCTGGGAAAGGCCTGGTCTGGAGGCGCCTCCCACCTCATAGGGTTAGACCAGGAAGAGGACGTGGGTGTGAACGCGGTGTGAGAGTGCCGGCTGGTGTGAAAGAGCACGCAGAGGGTCGAGGGAGCACTCTCATGCTTGTGTGTGGGTGTGTGTGTACACAGTGCTCTCGTGGCTTTGCGGGTGTGTGTACACGGTGCCCTCACGTGCCCGTGTGCGGGTGTCTGTGTACATGGTGCTCTCATGTGCCCATGTGCGGGTGCGTGTATGTGCACAGGTGTTCTCATGTGCCTGTGTGCGGGTGTGTGTGTACACGGTGTTCTCACGTGCCTGTGTGCATGTACATGGTATTCTCACGTTGCCTGTGTGCATGTGCGTGTGTGTGCACACGGTGCTCTCACGTGCCTGTGTTTGGGTGCGTGCGTGTGTACACGGTGCTCTCACATGCCTGTGTGCATGTGCATGTGTGTGCACACGGTGCTCTCACGTGCCTGTGTTCGGGTGCGTGCGTGTGTACATGGTATTCTCACGTTGCCTGTGTGCATGTGTGTGTGTGTGCACACGGTGCTCTCACGTGCCTGTGTTCGGGTGCGTGCGTGTGTACATGGTGCTCTCACGTGCCTGTGTGCATGTGCGTGTGTGTGCACACGGTGCTCTCACGTGCCTGTGTTCGGGTGCGTGCGTGTGTACATGGTGCTCTCACGTGCCTGTGTGCATGTGCGTGTGTGTGCACACAGTGTTCTCACGTGCCTGTGTGCATGTGTATGTGCACACGGTGCTCTCACGTGCCTGTGTTCGGGTGCGTGCGTGTGCACACGGTGCTCTCACGTGCCTGTGTGCATGTGCGTGTGTGTGCACACGGTGCTCTCACGTGCCTGTGTTCGTTCGGGTGCGTGCGTGTGCACACGGTGTTCTCGCATGCCTATGAGCATGTGCACACGGTGAAGCATGTGAGAGAGAGAGAGTTTGGTTGATGAGCTGGAGGCAGGAGGATCCCGGGGCACTTACAAAGTAGATGTCAGTAGCGGGTGTGTCCTCCTCGTCTGAGGCCTGGCTGGCGGGCGCGCCCTCCTCGTCCGAGGCCTGGCTGGCAGTTTCTGCTTCCACCGCAGCAGAGGCACCGGCCGGGGAAGCCTCCACCCTGGGGACGGAGCAGACAGGGAGACTTGACCCTCAACCCCACCCAGAGCCTCCCCACTGCCCGGCTTCACACAGTATCGCTGATACAGAAACCCAGGGAGCTGATCGCAGGCTACGCGCTCCTGCTATTTAACGCAAATCAGAACAAACCCCTCAAGAAGCCCCCAAATGCTGACCCCAGGAGTAACCTGCCAGCCCACTGCCAGCTGGGCCCTGCCTACCACACACACACCTGCAGGCAGGAGCTGGCCTCACCCTCCCCGGCTGTGCCGCCCTGGGAGGGCCTGTTCCTCCTCAGCCTCAGATGCCTCATCTGTCCAGTGGGGAGAGATGCACCACCTCACTGGGATCAGAGCTTCTTTCTTCTTTTACTGCTTTATTGTTTTGAGATAGGCTCTCATTCCATCAGCCATGCTGACGTGCAGCTGTCACGGCTCACTGCAGCCTCCACCTCCCAGACTCAAGCCATCCTCCTGTCTTGGCTTCCCAAGTAGCTGAGACTACAGGTGTGCACTACTACGCCCAACTAATTCTGTGTGTGTGTATGTGGAGACAGGGTCTCACTATGTTGCCCACGCTGGTCTCCAACTTGTGGGGTCAAGCAATCCTCCCACCTCAGCCTCCTTTAGGAGGGATCACAGATGGGAGCCCACAAGCCCAGCCTCTCTGTCCTTTTCACTGAGCACTTACTACAGGCCAGGACCGGCTCCTGTGATTAACTCACTGAGTCTATCGTGAAGGATGGAGACGGGGCAGCTACCGTCCCTGTGTTACTTTTGCAAAAACGGAGGCACAGAGAGGAGGTGAGGAACGGCCTCAGCCTTGGCTATGTAGTGGGTGCAGTGTTTATCCCAGGAATGTGGCCCCACACGCCCTCCCGCTACGTCAGAGGTTCAGTTCTTGTTCTTCTTAGCCATAAAAACCAAATTTTATGGTTCGAGGTTTGGCAACGGCCAGGAGCTGACAGTGGCAGGAATGCCAGGTGGAAGATAAACCCCCAGAGCTTTATTTTCGGGTCTGTGCTGCTGTGAGTGCTAAAAAAGGTCTCTTGGAACAAAAATAAAAAAGTGTCTCAAGCAAAAATCATTAGAAAGGCAGGAAGAATTTGGTAACAATGCAAGCATGGGATTACACACATCAGACAGATGACAGAAAGGACAGAGAGAAAGGGGCCAGCGCGGGGCTCACACCTGTCATCCCAGCACTGTGGGAGGCTGAGGCGGGAGGAGCACCTGAGTTGAGGAGTTCGAGGCCAGCCTGGCCAACATGGTGAAACCCGTCTCTACTAAAATCACAAAAATTAGTTGGATGTGGTGGCGCGCGCCTATAATCCCAGCTACTTGGGAGGCTGAGGCAGGAGAATCAGTTGAACCCAGGAGGCGGAGGCTGCGGTGAGCTGAGATTCGCACCACTGCACTCCAGCCTGGGCGACAGAGCAAGACTCTGTCTCAGAACTAACAACAACAAAGACATAAAGGAACCGAATGATGACAGTAAACAGATTCAACATCTTTACACTGTTGGTCATAGTGTAAATTAGTTCAACCATTGTAGAAAACAGTGTGGTAATTCCTCAAGGATCTAGAAATAGAAATTCCATTTGCCCCAGCAATCCCATTACTGGGTATATACCCAAAGGATTATAAATCATTTTATTATAAGGACACATGCACATGAATGTTCACTGTGGCATTGCTTACAATAGCAAAGACCTAGAACCAACCCAAATGCCCATCGACGATAGACTAGACAAGGAAAATGTAGCACAGATACACCGTGGAATACTATGCAGCCATCAAAAACGATGACTTCGTGTCCTTTGTAGGGACATGGATGAACCTGGAAACCATCATTCTCAGCAAACTGACACAGGAACAGAAAATCAAACACCGCATGTTTCTCACTCACAGGTGGATGTTGAACAATGAGAACACATGGACGCAGGGAGGGGAACATCACACACTGGGGTCCCCGGTGGGGAAATAGGGGAGGGACAGCGGGGGGTGGGGAGGTGGGGAGAGAGAGCATGGGGAGAAATGCCAGATACAGGTGACGGGGAGGAAGGCAGCACATCACACTGCCACGTGTGTACCTACGCAACCATCTTACATGTTCTTCACATGTACCCCAAAACCTAAAACGCAATTAAAAAAAAAAAAAGATTGGACATCACAGGGCTCACAGAGAATGTCCCATCCCACAACAGAGACGCTCATTCTTTCCACGTGGTTGAGGTGTGTGTTCCCACCGAGTCTCATGAGGAAATGTGGGCCCGGGGCTGGGGCGGGCTTGGTGGGGGGGCTTTCAGTCATGGCAGTGGATCCCTCACGGCTTGGTGCTGTCCTTACCCTTGGGAGCAAATTCTCACCAAATCTGCTAGTCTAGAAGTGTGTGGCACTGATGTGGGGCACAGCGGCTCACGCCTGTCATCCCAGCACTTTGGGAAGTCGAGGCAGTTGGGTCACCGGAGGTCAGGAGTTCGAGACCAGCCAGGTCAACATGATGAAACTACGTCTCTAGTAAAAATACAAAAATTAGCCAGGCGTGGTGGCGGGTGCCTGTAATCCTGGCTATTTGGGAGGCTGAGGCAGGAGAACTGCTTGAACCTGGGCGGCGAAGTTTGCAGTGAGTCAAGATCGCTCCATTGCACTCCAGCCTGGGTAGCAAGAGATAAACTATCTCAAAGAAGTAAGCAAATAAAATAGAAAATAAAAAATGAAAATAAAATAAGTAAATACTAAAGGCAAAAAAACCCTTGTGATTTGGAAGTTCAGAGATGCTTTTACACAACTTTCTGCCCAGCGTCTCTTGCCCTTGGCCCTGTGGACACTGGAACCAGGTCCTTTTCTGGGGCAGGGCTGTCCTGGGCACGATAGGCTGATGTTGAGCAGCGTTCCTGGCCTCCACCCACTCCATGACAGGAGCACTCCCTGGTTCCAACAGCCACAAATACCCCCAGGCATCGCCCAGTGTTCCCCGGAGGCCAGTATCAGCCCCAGCTAGTTGAGAACCAATGTACAGAAAAACCACCACCTGTTAATACAACCCAGTAAGAAGGAACGGCTCCATTCTGAAACCTTGCGGTGCTCTTGGCTCCTCTGGGCCCGCAGCAGGTGGGCACCCTGACCTCCTGCCGAGACCATACTCACCCTGAGTCTTCCTCTTTGGGGACCACGATCTCCACGCTGCACGTGGGCTCCACCTGCACCGTAATCTGCTGCAGGCTGTCTTCCGTGGGTGGCTCTTCCTGTGGCCTGCAGGCAATGGGAGGCTGTGCCTCAGTTTCCCTCCTCTTGTCCCCCCGTCCTGCCCCCAGGAGTGCCCAGTGAACTCCAGGGCCAGTCCCAGAGCCTCCTGCTCAGGCCTGGTCTTTCTGGCTGTCACTCCCAGCCTGGGGACTGTCTACCCGGGTCCCTTGGTGACTGTGGTGCCGGCAGGGCCCAGGGCCCAGCAGGCTCTCGGGGCATATGAGTGAATGGTGGCCCTGACTGGCTTAGGTGTCACAGATCCTGCCCACCCCCACAAGAGTTCCTGAACCTGAACCGAGGGCCTGACAGGTGAGTCAGTGTCCCAGCAGCCTGGCCTGGGCATGTGCTTTCTCCAAATAGCATGCTGGACAGAGAGGAGGGTCACATCCCACCCAGCACACCCTGGGCACCACAGCACACCAAGGGGTTTCTTTCATTAGGCAGCAGTGATTAAAACACAGTTAAGGGCCGAGCACGGTGGCTCAAGCCTGTAATCCCAGCACTTTGGGAGGCCGAGGTGGGTGGATCACAAGGTCAAGAGATTGAGACCATCCTGGTCAACATGGTGAAACCCTGTCTCTACTAAAAATACAAAAAAAAAAAAAAAAAAAAAAAAAAATCAGCTGGGCATGGTGGCGCGTGCCTGTAATCCCAGCTACTCAGGAGGCTGAGGCAGGAGAATTGCCTGAAGCCAGGAGGCAGAGGTTGCAGTGAGCCGAGATCGCGCCATTGCACTCTAGCCTGGGTAACTAGAGCGAAATTCCATCTCAAAAACAAAACAAAACAAAACAAACAAAACAAAACAAAACAAAACACAGTTAAGGAAAGCAACACCTCGCCACTGCCCCAGTGTTCGCAAGAGTGAGACCCTGGGGACCTCACAAACGTCCATGAGGTCTGGGCACTTGAAGCCGGGTGCAGCCCATGGGATGGGAGGCTGGCACGCAGGCACAACAGGGAACAGTGCACCCGCCCATAAGATCCCCTTTAGTCGGGTGACAACAGCAAGGGGCGGGAGGCGCGCACGGCTGTGTCCATCTGTGTCAAGATAAAAGGGGACCATAGCTGGGCGTTGTGGCTCACACCTCTAATTCCAGCACTTTGGAAGGCTGAGGCAGGTGGACTGCCTGAGGTCAGGAGTTCGAGACTAGCCTGGACAACAGAGTGAAACCCCATCTCTACTAAAAATACAAAACTTAGCTATGTGTGGTGGTGGGCGCCTGTAATCCCAGCTACTAGGGAGGCTGAGGCAGGAGAATTGCCTGAACCCAGGAGGCGGAGGTTGCGGTGAGCCGAGATCGCGTCAATGCACTCCAGCCTGGACAAGAGTGAAACTCCGCCTCAAAAAAATAAATAAATAATGGAACCACAAACCTGGTGCACATTTGCTGTGTCCCCAGAAAGTATCTCTGCAAAGGGACAAAACCCACAGTTCCAGTGGTTGCCCATGGGGCGGGATGAGCCATGGCAGGAGGGGGCATTTCACGATGGTCCCTCTTGTACTTTCTCTTAAGTTAAAGAAAACTTAATAGAAGAAGAAACAACGAAGGACCCACAGGCCAGAGCTGCCCCAGGGCATAAGAAAAACAAAGGGACTAGAAGATTCTGTGTGGTTCTAGGGCTGAGTGCTGGAACCTTAAATCTGTCCCCAGGAGAGGATGGGCAGAGAGCAGAGGGGCTGGGGGCGGGAATAGGAGCTGTGAGCTGTGCAAGATGAGACGGTGAGAGACCCAGGGAGGGAAGGGGGCTGGGTCTCACCTGCCATCCTGTCCAGAGGACTGTGTGCGCCGCCTGTATAGAGAAGGCGAACAGATGACAGGGGAAAAGCCATGGCCTGCCCCCCTCGGCAGCCCCGCCCACCTGTATATTAGATACCCAGCCCACCTGTATATCTGATGCCCCGCCCTCCTACACATCAATTGCCCCGCCCACATTAACAGCAACGCATGGCCCTTCTGCACATCAGATGCCCCACTCACGTGCACAGCGGATGCCCCGCCCTCCTGCACAGCAGATTCCCCGTCCACCTGTACCTCGGATGCCCCACCCACCTGTACCGGGGCTGCTCCGACGTCTCCGAGGGGGACCGCTCAGGAATGGAGAGGGATGTGGATGATAGAGTCGTGGCAATGGAGGCTGTAGTGGCTTCTTCAAAAGAAGGTGGCGTGCAGGGCAGGAGGTCAGGCCGGCCTGCGGAGAGAGGACTGTGGGCACCTTGCAGAGCCTCTGGGCCCCAAGCACCACAGAGGATTCTCCCTGAGGCTGGGCTCACCCGGGAGCCCATAGCCCAGCGCCTGCAGCCTCCCAGACACACCATCTCCCCCCACGGCAGAGAAGGGTGACGTTCCCCCTTGCATGAAGACTTCTGACCGCTCTCAAAATAGAATCCAGACCCCTACACAGCCCAGAGGGTCCTGTGTGACCTGGCCTGCCCCACCCTACTGCCTCCTCCCTCTCTTCCCCTCCCCACTGCTCAGCCACAAGATCCTCCTTGCTGTTCCCCCAGCAAGTGGGGTACTGCCCCACGGTCTGTGCATGGCGACGTCCCTTCCTGCATTCTATCCCCCCAGCTCCCTGACATCAGGCCCAGCCCGGGGCCTAAATGCCTTCTATGGCATCCCAGTGCACCTCGGGTGACAGTGACCCTGACAGAAGGTGGGCGCCGTCACTACCCCCAACTGCCCAGTGGAGCCTTCTACACTCAGCTCTCTCTGGGACTCTTTCCTGGGGCCAGGCCGGCTCTGCAGGTCCCGGAGGTGGCAACTGAGTGATTAGCACTCAGGATGAGGCCTGCGCCCTGCTCACTGGGCTACTGCTGGCACCCTGTGGCCCCTACAAGCACACTCCCGCCCTCTGCCCCTCACCTTCGTCCTCCAGCGTGGGGTAGCTGCGGGCCCCCCGAAGATCATACTGGGCCTCCTCCCGCTCACTGGGGATCTGGCTGGCCGAGAAGGCGGCTGTGGGCCCCAGGGGTTTGACGGCCAGCAAGGCTCCACCGCGCCCCTTCTTGGAGGGTGAGGACTTCAGGGCTGCAGGGGACGGAGGGTGAGTGTTGGCAACTGGGGCTGCTGGGGGCTCGCAGCAAAGCCCAGACAGGACCACTGCCCGCATGTGCCTCTGCCGTCCCTGAGGCCAGGAGGCAGCAAAGCCTCTGTGGTAAACCAGGCTGGCTGCGGGAGGCACTGGGGGTCCTAGTTATCTGTCCTGCCCACCCGACCATCTCTGAGACACACAGGGCTTGGCACAGTGCCTGCCCTCCTGGGGCCCTGCAGACCTGTGGCTCCCATGAAGCTGGCCAGGGCCCCCAGTTTCAGACGGACACGAGAGCCTTCTGGAACACCAGGTGTCATTGGAGAAGTCAGTGGCTCAGCACGTAGGGCCCAGATCCAGGCTCGCCTGCTGGCTGTGTGGCTTGGTGTCTCTGGGCTCCGGTGACTGACCTTAGCAGTTGGGTTGGGTGGGGCAGGTGATGCCACAGCACCCTGCAAGGGACTGGGCCGGTCCTCAGAGCTGTTTGAGCTCTGATTCCTCACCAAGCTCTTGTGACCTCTGGCCCCAGAATGGCCCACACAGTTCCTGGTAAACAGTAGGTGCTCAGTTTGCCTTGTGCAGCTTCCTACAGTCACCAAAGGCTGGCAAACACCCCAGAATGACTGGAAATGACCCCGTGGCAATGGTCCCAGAGAGTGGTGTGTGGGGACAGGCTCCAGAGCCGGCTCTCCAGAGACAGTCCCTAACATGTGATGTCTGCCAATTCCCACGGGTGTCACCTGGAGTGGGTCCCTGACCTCGGAGCCGGGAAGATCGGCCCCACTGTGAGCGCAGGCCATTGGTGTGCCTGTCCCTGCTGCTCCCAGGAGCGGCCCCCGTGGGTGTGTACGCACGGACCATTCATGCCCCCGACACTTCCCAAGCACCTGTATGCTAGGCCTGTGCAGGATGCTGGGGAGCCCGGGAGCCTTCCGGTGGGGAGGGCCCTGAGCAACAGACACGGGAGGAACCCATCTGGCAGCAGGTGGGCCACGGGCCGAGGTCTGCACTGGGGCCTGGGACCCCAAGCCTGCGACCAGTTGTTACAGTGGCACGAGGGGAAGCTGAGCCCTGAGAGATGGGGACCCCCCCAGGCACCCTGGGTGAACCCTGAGTCCCCACCTTCCCCTCCCACGCTCTGCTGGGCTGGCCTCCTGGGTTCTCCTGGCTGGGATGGGTTTCCTTGGTGAAGGTGATGCTGTGGGCAGCCCCACACACCATGAGCTACCTGCTGGGCTAGGCCCACCCATCCCATATATAAACACTGTACCCTCAACATGTTGTGCAGATGGGGAAACTGAGGCACACGGGGAGGCCAGGCCAGGATTCAGGATTCAGGCTGTGGACCCATGCTCTACCCCTGTGCAGACAAATGTCCCAACCACCCTACCTGCGGGTGAGGCCCGGTCTGAGGGAGGGCACAGGGGCTCTGGGTTTACCATCCCTGCCCACTGGGTTCTCAGCCTCCCCCTAGAGTCCCTCCTGCCCCACAGGGCTCAGGTGGCTTACAGGAGTTCTTCCGAAAGACCGTGTTGCTCATGAACTTGAAAAAGCGCTCGGCATAGAAGCTGGGGCGGTGGACGGACACGGTGTCCTGGAAGAGAGTGGTGGGAGTGCCCGGGGGGCAGAGGGCGCATCAAACAACAGCCGGGTACAGTCTGACAGACACGGGGTGTGGGGCGGTCGGGGTGGCACCGTCTGTGTGAAAGGCTGGAGATGCGTCCACGGCACCGTGGCTTGCTGGGAGGGGCTCACGGAACTGGGAACAGGGGCTCCCTCTGGGGAGGGAGACAGTGACAGGGAAGAGACGGGAACTTTTCCACTAGAGAGACCTGTTAGCACGTCTGACTTCCTTTTTTTTTTTGAGACGGAGTCTCACTTTGCAGTCTGAGCTGGAGTGCGGTGGCGTGATCCTGGCTCACCGCAAGCTTTGCCTTCCGGGTCTGAGCAATTCTCCTGCCTCAGCCTCCCAAGTAGCTGGGATTACAGGCACCCGCCACTATGCCCAGCTAATTTTTGTATTTTTAGTAGAGACAGGGCTGGCCAGGATGGTCTTCACCTCCTGACCTTGTGATCTACGTGCCTCGGCCTCCCAAAGTGTTGGGATTACAGGCGTGAGCCACTTCGCCCGGCCAGCATTTTTGACTTTTTAAACCAGGTCAATCAAGTATTCTGGCCAGGCGCAGTGGTCCACGTGGACTTGCAGGGGAGGCTGAGGCAGGACGGCCTGGCTGGGGCCCTGCTGGGATGTGACCTTTGGCCTCCCAGAATGCAACCTCCTTTCCCAGTCTTCTTGGTGGGGAGTGGCCACATGCCAGGATCATGAACGACTCCACCCTCACAGGCTGCAGTAGGAGGCGGCACCCGTCCACTGTGGCCTAGGGGACAAGGACAACCCCAGGGAAGTGGGGCGGCAGCACAGGACACCCTGGCCGGCCTCGTCAGAGCGAGAGGTCTCCTATCGGCTCTGGGCAGCGGGTTCCGGGCCTTGGTGTTTTAAGACATCCTGAGAGGCCTCTGCCGGCCACCACCCTGACCTGCTCCATGCTTATCCTGGAAGCTACTGCCTGGACCTTCTAAACACTCTTGAAAAATGGGGGTGTCTGTTGGGATCTTGGATTCTACAGGCTGTGGCGACACAGATGTTAGTCCTCAGCACCTGGCCCCAGGAGGTGGTCCGAGTTTGTGGAGCGATGGATGGGAGGGAGGCCGGGACGACAGGTGGGAGGACAGGAGGGAGGAAGGTCGGGAGGAGGGGTGCAGGCTCACCCCATCATGGACGAGGGCCTTCCAGGTGTGCTCCAGCTTCTTGATGAACCTGTGGAGAGAGTGCCCAGAGTGGCAGCTGACATCACCCCCTCATGCCAGGCGGCCTCACTCAGGGGGCACTGTGCACCCCCCAGGACACTGGGCCATGGCCTCGGGCAATCGTGGCTGTCAAAACTCAGGGTGGCAGGTGCTCCTGGCAGAAGTGGGTGGAGGCTCACTGCTCAGTGCCCTGCAATGCCCAGGACGGCCCCACCCCAGAGAACCACCTGGTCCCAATGTCCACAGCACTGAGTGGGCGACCCTGTATTTAAATATACTAGAGCCCCAGGTGGGCACGTTGGCTCACGCCTGTGATCCCAGCACTCTGGAAGGCTGAGGGGGGTTCATCACTTTAGGCCAGGAGTTCAAGACCAGCCTGTCCAACATGGTGAAATCTTGCCTCTACTAAAAATACAAAAATTAGCTGGGCGTGGTGGTAGGTGCCTGCAGTCCCAGCTACTCAGGAGGCTGAGGCAGGAGAATCGCTTTGATTCAGAAGGTGGAGGTTGCACCTGGCCAAAAGCATGCCACTGCACTTCGGCCTGAGGGACACAGTAAGACTGTCAGAAAACAAACAAACAAACAAAAAACAAATATTCAAGCCCCAAAGTGAGACCTCAAACCCACTCCTTGGATTTTGTCTTTGAGACAGGGTCTTGCTCAGCCAGCCTGGAGTGAAGTGCTGTGATCACAGCTCACTGCTCCAGCCCCAGGCTCAAGGGATCCTCCAGGTCTCCCGAGCAGCTGCGACTACAGGAGCACCACCATGCTCTGCTCATTTTTTAATTTTTTCGTAGACATGGGGTCTTGCTATGTTGTCCAGGCTGGTCTCAAACTCCTCGGCTCACGTGATCCTCCCACCTTGGCCTCCCACAGTGCTGGATTACCAGCATAAGCCTCTGTGCCCAATTCACTCTGTGGATTTTCAAGGTGACCAGATACCTTCCTTTAGGGCTCAAACGGGAGCAGCCCAGCAAGAGGCTTCCAGAAGGCTGAGGAGCCCCAAGAGCTGCTGGTGCTGCTGTTTCCACAGGCAAGCGCCTTTGTACATGGGTGTCCATGGGGCACCCACTGGTGGGACTGTAGACCTGGGGTATCCACTTTGGGACTGCAAACCCAGGTGTTCACCTGTAGGCTGCAGACCCGGCACCCCTCCAAGTGGCTGCACCCCCGGCACCCCCTGTGTGACTGTAGACCCGGCACCCCCGTGTGGCTGCACCCCCGGCACCCCCGTGTGACTGCACCCCCGCACCCACCTGTACGACTGCAGGATGTCGATGATGCCGATGTGCAGCAGGAGCCGCTCCCCGCGGCCATTCACGGCAGGGATCCCGCCCATCCTAGGGAGAGAGGCCAAGGGCACCGTCAGCATCCCACGGAGCTGGGACTCAGGGCAGGCAGGGCTGGGGAATCCACCCGCTCCTGTGGAGCCCTCAGAGTGGGGCCTGACGCCCGGGAACCTCCGTCCTGATGTCCCTCCATCACCCCCAGCCTGAAACCCAGGCCCAGGCGCTGCCGAGGAGTCCCAGCTAGGAGGCCCAGGCATGCACCCCCCACGCACACACGTGTGCACACACACACACATGCACGCACACGTACGTGCACACACTGCACGCTGCATGCCCAGGCAGGGCCACAGGGTCTCAGGTACAGCCTGGGAAGTTAACTGTCACCCGGCACCACAGCACGCATCCCCTGCCCAGCGCGGTTAGTGAGGCCACACGTGCAGCAGCCATCCTGAAGCCACCAGGACCAGACCCATTGGGCCCGGGCCCTGCACGCTCTGCTCACGCCACAGGCTGCTGTGCTCACCTGCTCCCCCGCTGGGCCCTCAAAGACCCTACAAACACCAGGATGGTCTGAGTGGGAGCTGTGCCCGGCCTTGGCTCCCGTGCCCTCCGCAGCTACACCCTGGTTGGGACCCCAGGTCCCCCTCTGCCATCCATGGAACAAGCCACCACTTGCAAACCAAGGCTCAGCTAGTGGCCTAGTGTGAGCCAGCACTGCCCCTGGGCCAGGCCAAACTTGGCTCCACACTCGGCGGCTGCACCGAGGAGTGCTGCCCCCACCCGGGAGCCTTTATTTTCTCCACTGGAAACGGGGGAAGCCCACTTCCCTCCACCAAGGCCGCTGTGAGGACTGAACACGGTAACCAAGGGGAAGGCTCTGCCTGTCCCCACGGTCAGGGAGCCGCTGTGACCAGGACACAGCCTCAGCACTGCTGTGCAACGCCTGTCCTTCCCATCCCCTGGGCCGTGTCTGAGGACATCTGTGGTTGTCACGACTGGGGGTGCTACTGGCCCGGAGTGGGTGGAGGCCCGAGACGCTGCTCAGCACCCTACAGTGCCCAAGACAACCCCACCCCAGAGAATAAGCCCGCCCCAACATCCATACTATCCCAGGAGGGCTATGCGAGCGTCTTCCCAACCAAACCCTGAGCTGTGAGGGCCTGCCTGACCCCTCTGCCCTGGCATCCAGCAGAGACTTGACTGTAAGCCACTGAGGTATGGCCTCCTCTCTCCACCACCCCTCCCATCTTCTGTGGCAGCCACTTCTGTTTTTGAGAAGGAGCCTTGCTCTGTCTCCAGGCTGGAGTGCAGTGGCTCGATCTCGGCTCACTGCAACCTCCGTCTCCTGTGTTCAAGCGTCTCTTCCGCCTCAACCTCCCGAGTAGCTGGGACCACAGGCGCCTGCCACCACGCCCGGCTAATTTTTGCATTTTTAGTAGAGACGAGGTTTCACCATGTTGGCCACGATGGTCTGGACCTCTTGAGCTCGTGATCCGCCCGCCTCAGCCTCCCAAAGTGTTGGGATTACAGGCTTGAGCCACCACGCCCGGCCTTTTTTTTTTTTTAAGAGTTTAGTTCTTTTTGCCCAGGCTGGAGTACAATGGCTCAATCTCAGCTCACTGCAGGCTCCACCTTCTGAGTTCAAGTGATTCTCCTGCCTCAGCCCCCAAGTAGCTGGGATTACAGGCACACACCCCACACTGCCAAGATTTTGCATGAAGGAGAGACGGGGTTTCTCCCTGTTGGCCAGGCTGGTCTGGAACTCCTGACCTCAGGTGATCCACCCGCCTCAGCCTCCCAAAGTGCTGGGATTGCAGGCATGAGCCACCGCACCCGGCCTTTTTTTTTAATTTAATTTTTAATTTTTTTAAATTTTGAGATGGAGTCTCACTCTGTCACCTAGGCTGGAGGGCAGTGGCATGATCTGGGCTCACTGTAACTACCTCCTGGGTTCAAGTGATTCTTCTGCCTCAGCCTCCCGAGCAGCTGGAATTACAGGCGCCTGCCACCAGGCCTGGCTAATTTGTATATTTTTAGTAGAGATGGGGTTTCATCATATTGGCCAGGCAGGTCCCAAACTCCTGACCTCGTGATCCGCCCGCCTCGGCCTGCCAAAGTGCTGGGATTACAGGCGTGAGCCACCAGGTCGGACTTTTTATTTTAAGACAGGGTCTCACTCTGTCACCCAAGCTGGAGTGCAGGGACGCAATCTCAGCTCACTGCAGCCTCCGCCTGCCACGCTCACAGGACCCTTGGCCCCCTGAGTAGCTGGGACTGCAGGCTCACACGCAACTAAGTTTCCTATTTTTTGTAGACATGTGGTCTCGCGATGTTGCCCAGGCTGGTACTGAACTCCTGGGCTGAAGCCACCCTCCCACCTTGGTAAGTGCTGGAATGACATGGGTGACACCACGCCCGGCCAGTAGCCGCTTTGATCCGGGTGGAATCCGTTTGCAGCCCCTCCGCTTCGTGGGCTGTGTCCCGCTGAGGGCGCCGCCTCGCCCGGTCCCTCTGGCCTCCCACGCATCCTCCACACCTTTGTGGCTCCGCTCTACACAGGCGGCGTGTGGACCCCTCTGAGGGCCACGGGGAAATGCCATCTCAATCTCATTCCTGTGGATGGCAGTGGCCTCGGCCCAGTCACGGGCGAATGGAAGTGCCACCCTGCTATTTCCAGACCAGGCACGGAACCCCACGCCTGTGGCCGGCACCACAGCCTGGCTTCACTCTGGGGCACCGATGCCAGGCTCCAGACTCTCAGTCCATCTGTCACCCATGACACCCTCGCCAGCCCTCCCTGCCTGCTTCCACCTTGGGACCGGGAAGGGGGCGGGGGTCCGAGGGGCTGGAGCCCGCAGGGCAGGGAAGCGGGATGGGTCCGGAGGCCCCCCGCCCACCTACGTGTCATCCGACTCGATGGCCTCCCCGCGCGCGGCGCCGCCCTGGATGGACTCCATGGCTGTGGAGTAGAGCGCCTTCTGGCCCGCGGGCCGCTTCTCGTCCGCGGTGCTCTGCGCGCCCCGCGCCTGCCGCTCGCGCTCGTGCTGGTCGATGTTGTGCACGCCCAGCAGCAGGCTGTAGTCCATGATCTTGAAACTCTCCAGCACCTGAAGGGTGGGGCACGGACACGCGGTCAGCTGGCTCCACCCCCCGACTGCCCCGACGGCCCGGTGGGCTCAGATGTGAGGGGTACAGTCCCACGGCCCCCCAGGGGTGGGGTTCTACCCTTCTCCGAGGGACAGAGGGGCCGTGGTCACACAGCGGCCTCAAAGCGGGCCAGAGAACGAGGGCTTCCGGCCTCCCAGCAGGTTGCCTTGGGCACTGGGACGGCTTTTTCGTTTTTTGTTTTTTTTGAGACGGAGTTTCGCTCTTCTAACCCAGGCTGGAGTGCAATGGCGCGATCTTGGCTCACCGCAACCTCCGCCTCCTGGGTTCAGGCGATTCTCCTGCCTCAGCCTCCTGAGTAGCTGGTATGACAGGCACGTGCCACCACGCCCAGCTAATCCTTCCTGGCTTTGCGCCTTCCTGAGAGACAGAGGGCCGGGCCGATGCCTGACCAGCCCAGGCCCATGGGCAAGGATGTGCCTGGCCCAAGAGCCAACACCCAGGTGCGTGGGCACCCACGGTAGCCTTGAGGCCCGAGTGGTCTGGGCGGTTTTCTGGGGGTGTGGGTCAAGTTCTTTTTTATTTAAACTTTTTTAAAAATTTAAGCAAGCAAGTTATCAAAGGGGTCAGGCAGCAGGGCAAAGGGGTGGTCAGCAGGGGGCCCTGGGTGGAGCACGGGAGCTGGGAGGTTCCAGGCTCTGCTCCCGACAGGCTGGGGCCTCCCCTCCTTGGCTGCATGTCTCAGCTGCAAGGGTAGGGCAGGGACAACACAGCTCACACATGCAGAGGAAGGGCCACTGCAGGCTCCACGGGGACAGGAGCCGGACCCCCTACCGGATGGAGACGGGCCCTCACCGCAGCCTGCAGGGCAGGCAGTCCTCCCATTGGATGAGCGAGGAAACTGAGGCACAGCAAGTTTTCATGGCTGGCCTGCGAGCTCTGGGCTTGTGGCCACAGCATCCAACGGCTGGGCTCTCTTCTCTGGGGGTTGAGGAGGACTCTGTACCACTGTCACCATGTCATCTTCGGAGGAACTGCTTCTTAGCAGTGCGGACACTCCTGACCCCCAGGGGCTGGGTCTAGAGAGGTGTTTTGTTTTGTGCTTTGTTTGGGAAATGGGGTCTCACAATCTTGCCCATGCTAATCTTGAACCCCCTGGGCTCAAGCCATCCGCCCGCCTCGCAGAGTGCTGGGATCCCAGGCAGGAGCCACTGTGTCCAACCACATCTTAGGTTAAGGCCATAAAAGCTTGAGCTGCTTCCAGACCCCACGTTGGGGTGGGGCCTACCTTGGACTTCGGGGCAGGCGGGCCTCAGCCTGGCACCCTCCCCAGCCCTGTCTGCCGTCCCCAGGCAGTCCCGCACCCCCACGCTCCCGTGCCCGCCCGGGCCGCGGCCTCACCAGGCAGTCCCGCTGCAGCGTCTTCACCAGGGCGCTGAAGGTGTCGGCGTCCAGCAGGAGCCCCTCGGGCATGTCCTGCATGAAGTCCAGGTCCTTGTAGGTGGGGAAGCTCTTCTCCTTCTCCTTCCTGCTGGCACGCCGCTTATAGGTGGAGCCCTTGAGGTCAAACTTGAGGTGCATCTTGACCACGCGTGGCAGGATGTTATTCATGACCACCACGCGGATGTTCTTGCCCCCCGACTGCACGCAGTACAGCCCGTAGAACTTGGGCAGCAGCGTCCGCGGGTTCTGGTTGAGGTTCTGCCGGGAGGAGAGGGCAAGTCTCGGGGGCAGCCGTGCCATACTCTTGGGGATGGGCGGAGCTGGCCTCTGCCTCAGGGGACTCATGGATGCCCCTGGCCAGCCCCCTCTCTCCCCAGAAGTCCTCAGGGACCCCCTCCTCCCTCTGCAGGTGCCCACCTGGCCTTCCCACAGCGCCCTACTCTCACGGGTCTCGGGGTCTCCCAATCCAACTATGAGCTCCAGGAGGGTCTGTTTCTACAGAGCCAGGCCGAGTCACATGCTTCTGATTCACCAGAGGCTTCCACACTCCCTGCCTGCCCACAGGACATCGCCCGGGCTGGGCTCGCCTGCTGGGAAGTCTGGAGACCAGAAAAGTGATGCTCTGTCTATCCTAAGGTAAGTACGTACATATACGTATATGCATATGCGTGCGCACACACACACACAGACACACACAGACACACACACAGATACACACACACAGACACACACAGACACACACACACACACACACACACACACACACACGTTTTCTGGAGACAGGGTGAGAGTTCCGTCACCCCGTCTGGAGTGCATGGTGCCATCAAAATTCACTGCAGCCTCAACCTCCAGGGCTCAAGCCATCCCCCAACCTCAGCCTCCCAAAGTGCCAGGACCACAGGCGTGCGCTCAGCCTCTGTGCTGGTTATGCTCCGCCTGTTTTGGACTGATCAGCTCGGACTTTTACTCCACATCCGGGTCTGCAGGCACAGGCAGGATCTGGGTCCCGCTCTGCCCTATAGACCCCAAGCAGGCACTGGGTGATCCAGGGTTGTCCAGGTGAGGCCACAGCTCCCCTGCCCAGAACTTCTCTATGACGAACCCAAGGGGATGCTGCCCGGGTGTCAGGGCTCGGTCAGACCCACAGGTAGAGGAGTGGGGGGGCGAGGCCTCAGGCACCAGCCTGGGGAGACTCTGCGAACTCCAGCCCCCTGGTGGAACCCAGCTGCCACCTATTTTTGTGGGGCTGTGAGCGGAGAATGATTTTCTCAGTTTTAAAACGTGGAGAGGCCGGGCTCGGTGGCTCACACCTGTAATCCCAGCACTTTGGGAGGCCAAGGCAGGTGGATCATGAGGTCAGGAGATCGAGATCATCCTGGCTAACACAGTCAAACCCCATCTCTACTAAAAATACAAAGAATTAGCCAGGCGTCGTGGCGTGCACCTGTAATCCCAGCTACTTGGGAGGCTGAGGCAGGAGAATCGCTTGAACCCAGGAGGTGGAAGTTGCAGTGAGCCAAGATCATGCCACTGCACTCCAGCCTGGCGACAGAGCAAGACTCCGTTTCAAATATATAAAAATAAAAATAATAGAATAAAATAAATAAATAAAAAGCGGAGAAATAAAAATAGTCTTTTGCGACATGTGAAAGTGATATGGAATTTGCATTTCTTGGTCCATGAATAACGCTCATGAGCACACGGCTGCACCCGTCCATTCTGTGCGGTCACGGCGGCTCGGTGCCACCCAGGCAGAGCTGAGCCCTGGAGTCACAGACCACTGCCTCGCAGAGCCAAAAACACTCACTTTCTGGGACTTGACAGACTGAGTTTGCTGAGCCTGATCTAGGGAGCCTGGGCCCCACCGTAAGCATCACACAGAGTGATGGAGGAGGCCTCAACGGGGAAACTGAGTCGCAGGCTGTGCTGCCCAGAGGGGCCTGGCAGCAGTTGTGACCTGGTCACGTGGGAGGCGCCCACCCCATCTCGGCAAGTACCCGAGTCCCAGGCCCAGGAACACAGCAGCCGACGCCGGCTCCTGCTCCCCATCCCAGGGCCTGATGTGCCCTTTCTGTGAGTCACGCGGGATAAGGAATGGGCCATATGGAGCTGTCTCCCGCCCACCTGAGCAGCTGGTCTTTTGTGGGGCACCAGCTGGCAGTCCCTCCCCTCTTCTCTGCAACCCTCTGAGTCACCCCTGGGCCACTTGGGTCTCCAAGGCATGAGAGACGCGGCCCATGGGCCGCCCTAACCCTAAGCCACAGCTCATAGCGGGTGTTGGCAAGGTGGGGGTGGGGAGCCAGGCAGGGGCCAGTGCCCACCCAGCCCTGCCCAGGGACAGCCCTGGAGACGTGTGGCCACAGGAGAAAGACAGGGCGGCTCCTGAACACTGGTGCTGGAGGAGCCTGACGGGGGACGCCGAGAATGAGTCCCCAGGCGCCTCTTGCTGTGCCCCAAGGATGCCTGCTCGCCCTAGCCTTGCTGCTCCTGCCAGCCGGGAGAAGGGAGTGGGGGCGGGTGCGCACCATGTAGTATCCAGGGAGCAGCTTCTGCAGGAACTCGGCCTCCTTGTGCATAACGGTCTTGATGATGAACTCGTCGTCGCTGGTGACGTAGAAGAGGGAGCCGCTGGCGCCCGGGTTGGACAGCTCGATCAGCGGCTCGTTGCACAGGGAGTACTGGAAGCGGGGGAGGCACGTCAGTGACCCGAGGCTGCCAGACACACAGAGGTGCCGCTCCCGGTCTGCCCGACAGCCCCTGGACCTGACTTGTCCTTGCATTTTACAGATGAGGAAACCGGTTCGGAAAGGAGTCGTGACTTGCCTGAGGCCAGCCAGCGAGGTGTGGCGTCTGAGCCGAGCGGACTCTGCAGCCTGAGGGCACTTCCCAGGCTGCCTCCCGCTGTCCTTAGAAGCAAACACCTGATCATACGGGGGTGCCAACAGGTGTGGCTGAGACGTGCTCCCAGCACCCCTGCAGCTTGGTGCGGCCACAACACCAGCTCTGCACCATGAGGCGTAAGCAGAAGCTATGGGGTGGAACTCAGGGAAGGCTCCCCAGAAGAGCAACAGGCAGCTGGTGCACCTGTGTATTTGCCCTTCTCTCCTTCCCACCGATTTCCCTCCTGAGATGCTGATGTGATGGCTGGAACCCCAGCAGCCACGCTGGTCCAAGAAGTAACCTCTGGGATGGGAGCTGCATCTCTGATAGGCAGGCCACACTCTGGCCCTGGCAGTCCGAGCCCCTCCTCCCCATCTCTCTGCTGCTTGTTCTCAGCCCCTGCTGTTTGTTTCATGATGTGCTCACTGTCTCTTCCCCCAGCCTCTGCCAGCCATTACGCAGTAGGCCTGTGGAGGCAGAGGGTTTTGTGTGTCACTGACACACGGCAAGTATTTGTTAAGGACGAGAGTGAAGATGAGGCCCGTGGGCACTACCCTGAGCCTTTCAGGTACAGAACCAATGAAGTGCGCTCGGGGCTAAGGCATCTGGGTCACGTCCTGTAAAATCCTAAGTGGCTGCCATTGGTCTACACGGATAAGGTGACAGCGAGCTCCCCACCAGTGAAACAAGCCAGGTCCACCCTGGGTCAGCGCTGGGGCCGGATCTGCCAAATGACGGAGGGTGGCCTCTGAGTGCTGAGCGCTGCCGGCCCCACTGGGAAGAACGCTGCTGTGCTAAGCAGGTTGGGGGTGTCCCCCGAGTTAAGGGTGGCAGCGAGCGGAAGCCAGGGGAGGCCAGGCATGCAGGTTCACCCAGCGCTTTGTAATCCCAGAGCCTCGGGAGGCTGAGGTGGGAGGACTGCCGGAGCCCAGGAGGGCGAGGCTGCTGTGAGCTGTGATAGTGCCACTGCCCTTCAGCCTGGGCACCAGTGCAAGACGGTTTCAAAAGGAGCCCCAGCAAGCGAGGGGCCCCACCTGTGGAAAATGCTGACAGAGCCGGGCCTTGAGCGCGAGCTGTGTCCCCAGCTCCACACACACTCTGACGTGCGGATGTGCATGGGGACCAGAAGAGCCGGGAAACACGAGGTCACTTTAGGCCCAGGGCCTGGGGATGCCCCCGTCCCTCCTGGGGCTCAAGTCACCGTCCCCCCCCCCACCACTCCACTGTGCGGGGTGGTCTTGGGCCAGGGAATGGCGTCATCAGTTAGCACATGCCGGTCAACACGGGCTGGATTCTGCAGAGTCACCAACAGCCCTGGCCCCCTCGGTGGCTCAGAACAGCCACTTAGGCTGCTTCTGCCATGCCTGGCTGGGAGTGACAGCACAGGGTGTAAGCCATGGGGGGCTCTGAGGCTGCAGGGAGAGCTGTCTAGGCCACTGCTGTCACCCAGCCGGCCATCTGTCTGCCTTTCGCCGCCCACAGCCACGAGCCACAAATATCCACAGGAAACACAGGGCCCACGCGGCTCCTCCACCCACCCTGCCACGGCAGGACGCCCTCCAGCCTCCCTAACACAGGCGTGGTGGCACAGATGAGGGCAGGCCTCTCCTGGAGCTGGTGCCCTCCCCGGGAGGCCAGGGGAGCCCGCCGAGCCCTGGGCCACTGTCCTCAGGTCACATGGAGCGGGGAAGCACCCAGCAGCCGGAGTACACCCCCGAGGCACAAATCCCTGCTTCCTCTCTGTAGTGGCAGGAGGGAGAGGCTGATCTCATCTGCAGAGCGGGAAACGCTGTGTAATGGGCACATTGAGCTTTGCACAAACAACACCAATGATAGGGAAATTCTGGAGCCACACACTAATGGCAGTTGCCCTTGGGCGCAGGCTAGTGGGGCTGCAGCCGCCATGGGCCTCAGCGGCGGGGAGACACAGCCCCATGCGTGGGTTTGGGGGCCGGGCAGGGCTCCGTGGTCGGGGCCGGGGCTCTCTGCAGCCCGCTGCTGACCGCGTCCTCCTCTCCAGCCCCGGCCGACCGCCGGGCAGGCCTGAGCCCCACCTCGTGTCCCACCTCCACTTCTCCTGCCTGGCTGTCCTGAGCTGAGGGCCTTGCCGGGGCCACCCCCACTTACCAGAGGGAACAGTGGCCTCAGCTTTCTCATCAGAGCAGCACTGGTAACCCCACGTCCCCCCAGCCCCACCTGTCCCCACTCAGGCTCAGGGGCCCTGGGGACGGCCACATGCACACTGGCTCGTCCTCCCGCCGCCGGCACATGGCCACTCACACCACAGCCTGGACAGAGGCGGGGGCTGTCGCCTGCTCAGCACTGGGGCCCAGGGGAATTCTCACCCCGAGATGAGCAGAAGGATCAGGGGTCACCAACACCGGGCTGGCCCCGACGCCACGGGCACACACCCAGCTTGAGGCCCCAGAACTCGGTCTTACTGGATTCTAGGTGAGCCCCAGATGGCCCCCGTTCAGCTTTTATCCGCCCTGCTCCCGATAACGGACACTGGCGCCATCTCTGCTACGAGCCCGGCCGCCGCCTTCCGCTCCCAGCAGCCTCACAGGCCAGGAGTGCAGCGTCCAGGTCATCCGAGGGCCATTTCTACGCACAAACCTCGGGCTGTTCTCACTCCCCACTGTCCCGCCCAGCTCAGGCAAACCGCTGGGACACTGAAGGCTGGGGCTGGGCCTTGGTGACACGACCCAGGGGCATGGTGACTCCGGGCACCTGAACAGGGCTGGGGTTCCCGGGGGTCGCACGCACCCCCGGCTGGAACAGAGGCCAGCTCTCCTAGAAGAGCGCAGCCTTGCGGTGGGGACCCAGGCTTCCCACAGACTGAGATAAATCAAACACACGCACAGTCCCCAACCAACCACCAAAGGCGCAAGGAACCGGCTGCGCGGGTGAGGGCAAGATGGGACAGCCACAGGCCCGCCTCGGGTGAAGGCAGGATGGGACAGCCACGGGCCCTGGCCCCGCCTCGGGTGAGGGCAGGATGGGACGGCCCCGGCCCCGGCCACCAGAACGCAAACGGCACTTGTCTACAGAGCTGATGTTTTCCCTGAAACAAAGTTCTCCAAGCGACCACACAGGCTTGGGAAAGGCCACCCAGAGCTTTCAGAAGCGGTGCTGTGCCCATGAGCTCCAAGCTGCCGCAGTGAGCGCCGCCCTCCGCACGCGTCTTTCGGGAGCCCTGGTAACCGGCTGCTAGGTCAAAGGGGCTGGCCTAGACTTTGACTTTCCTGACTTGAAAGCATCAAGCCACAGCTAGAGCTTGGGAGGTCCCACGAAGCTGGTCCCCAGGGGCACCCACGTCCCAGTGACTTGTCCTAACCACAAGCTTAGGTTGGTCACTCTGGCGCCAGGCTGCGGAAGACTGTACCATCTGTCTGGAGAGAGGACGCCCTCACTTGCTTGAAAGTGAGGCCCACGTGGCGAGGAATGGCGGCTCCCGGCCCCCAGCAGCCAGGACAGATCCAGCTGCCACCAGTCACGCGAGCTTGGAGGCTGATCCCGCCCCCTTCCCCGGGTGAGTCGCTAGGAGACCCCGGCTCCGAACCTGACTGTAACCCTTCGCAAGGAACCCAGGGAGGCTGCCCCCGAACGCCTGACCCAGAGACCCTCCAAGCCCCCACGCATGTTCTGTTGGACGACAGGAAGCCCGCGGCAGCAAATCCGCTTACCAAGTAATCGTCTGGCCGGATCCCGAAGAGCTCCCGGAAGTAGCGGAAGGCGACAGGTGCATAGGTCTTAAAGCGGAAGTCCTGGAAGTGGTGGGCGGGGGTGAGGTTGCTGCCTTCACTGCGGAGGAAGCACGGGAGAAGTCTGTGAGGGGTGGGCTGGGCACCTCTCCCCCACTCCCACCACGGCCCCTCCTACCGCCTCTAGCAGCTCAGCTCCAAGGCTTCCGTGAAACGGCCCAATCCCACAAGCAACATGGGGCTCCTGATGGGACCATCCCTCAGTAGCCACCCTCCCTGCTCTCATTAACGACAGGGCCCACAGTGTTGGCCAGGCACGTGGCCGCCAAGAGTGAGACCGCGCTGCCCAGCCTCTCCTGCAGCCAGGTGTGGTCATGTGACTGCACTCATCCGGTGAGACATGAGTGGAGCAGGAACACTGTGGTTATGTCCTAAAGGGAAGGACTGTGTTGTTCCCCTTCTCGTTCCTCCTGTGGCTGGAATGAAGCCGTGACGGCAGAAGCCTGGGCAGCCACCTGGGGCCACTGGCCACAGAGCTGTATGCTAAGAATGCTGGTGTCAGGTGACCAGAAGGAACCCAGGACCCCAACACCAAGGTGCCCCCTGACCAGCCCTGCACCGCCTACTGGCATTTGTGGATTGGAGAAGAGCTAACCTCAATCTTTCCTTTTTCCTGCTTTTTAACTGCCTTTACATTAAGGTCTCTGATTCAGCAGCAAATGAACACCCCGAAGGACAGAGGGCCAGAGCTCAAGGGCAGGGAGACGCCAGGAGGGGCCGGGAGCCGTTTCCAGCACAGAAGGGCGCTCAGGACAGGCCGCCCCACCTCAGAGCCGCGCGCGTGCCAGGCGAGCCCTGAGGCTCCGGGGCCCGGCCTACCTGGGGAAGAAGATGCTCTCCACCACGTAGAAGTCCTGCATGAGCACGTCCCGCTCGGGCTTGGAGCTCAGGTGCCCCACGGTGTAGCCGATGCCCAGCTGGATGGCGCCCTTCAGGGTGGAGGAGGTGGTCTGTGGGGAGACCAGAGTGTCACCCCCAGGCTGCTCCCCTGCCCCGCCCTGTACTCCCTGTGCGCACCGCAGGGGGTGGAGTCTGTGTTCAGCTGCAGCTTGGGACCTGTCACTTGCCAAAACCCCACCAGTGGCCCCCGGGACGCCCGTCCTATAGCTCCTGAGCTGCGGACACTGGGCTGGGAGGTGGAGTCACCCTCCCTTGGGCCACACAGCCAGTACAGGGCTTGGCCGTGACTTCCACCCCGTTTTACTCAGCCCTCCAGTCCTGTTGGCTAGCTAGGTTCTAGAAGGTTCTCACAGTATGAAATAGCTCCAAATTAGCAAGGGTTGATTCACTGTCAGGCTTTCTTTTTAGGGGGTATCGTTCACAACGTGATGCCCAGATCACTTTCATGTCTACAGACACGGGTTCCTGCTAGCTGCTCTCTACGTAATACACGTGGTGACACTAGGCAACCGACATGGCTGCTCCGTGCCTCAGTTTCCCTGCCTGTGGACAGGGATGGGCACAATGGTTCGGGCCCTCTTGGGGATGTGGTGTCAGCAGCTGTTACAATTATTTTTACTTAATTTTTTATATTTTTGAGGCAGAGTCTTGCTCTGTCACCCAGGCTGGAGTGCAGTGGCGTGATCTCGGCTCACTGCAACCTCTGCCTCCCGGATTCAAGCAATTCTCCTGCCTCAGCCTCCCGAGTAGCTGGGATTACAGGTGTGCACCGCCACGCCTGAATAACGTTTGTATTTTTTAGTAAAGATGGGTTTCACCATGTCAGCCAGGCTGGGTCTTGAACTCCTGACCTCGGCTGATCCCCCGGCCTTGGCCTCCCAAAGTGCTGGGACTCCAGGCGTGAGCCACTGCGCCCAGCCGCCTGCTGATAGTTTATCAGCAGCATCGTTGGCGTTATTCTCACTGTGCGCTCTCGGCGCTGTGTCCGCGTCAGCCCTGGGAAGCTGCCTCAGCCCTCCAGTCTCTAACTCAGGGCTCCCGTGCTCCCGTCCCGAGTGCGAGGTGGCAGGGAGGATGGCCGGTGGTGGGCACAGTGCCCAGGTTTGGCCGGCCTCCCTCCTAAGTCACACTCCAGGTGTGGCCTGCACGGTCAACTCCTCAAGATGCCACAGACACAACAGTCGTGTGCCCGGAGGTGACATACAAATGGCCGAGCCCGCAAAGACGCTCAATGTCACCGGGTACCAAGGAAAGCAAATCAAACCACGGATGGGCTGTGCCCCGTGGCTCCCCGGGAGGCTGGGCTGGGAGGATCGTCTGAGCCTGGGAGTTTGAGACCAGCCTGGGCAATATGGCGAAACCCCGTTTCTACAAACAAACCAAAACACGAACACCATGGAGAGATACCACCTCACACCCACAAGGACGCCAGAATCAGAGACAACTGCAAATGCTGGAGAGGACGTGGGGACGCTGGGGACTGGAAATCGGAGCAGCTGCTGTGGAGACCGTCTGGGAGGTTCTCAAAGGAAGACACAGAGTTACAAGTGCCTTGGCAATTCCACTCCTGGGTGTCGGCCCAAGACTGACCAACACACGTTATCCACACAGACACGCACACGTGTCCTCGGCAGCACAGTCCGCGACAGCCAGGCGTGTGAACCACCCAGCGTCCAAGAAGCAGCGAAGGGCAGGCGCGGCACAGGCCTCCACGTGCCAGAACACGACTCGGCCGTGAACAGGAGCAGGCTGTGACGTGGGCCCCAGAGCCGCTGAACCCTGAGGACGCCATGCTCAGTGAGACGCCAGACGCAGAAAGCCACACAGCATGTGATTCCGCTTCTAAGAAAGGTCCAGGACAGGCCCATCCACAGAGGTGGAAAAGGGATGGGTGCGTGCCGGGGCTGGGAGTGGGGGATAGGGAGTGACTGCTAATGGGGACAGGGCTGCTATTTGAGCTGACAGAATGTTCTGGAATTAGAGGTGACGGCTGCACAACTCTGCGAATGTACTAAAAGTCATGTACTGAACACTTTAAAGAGCGAATTTTACAGTCTGTGAATCACATCTCAGTAAAGCAGATATTTTTTAAACGGACAGGACCCAGGCATGGGTGAGAACAGAGTGGGGGTCAGGCTTCAGGCTTCCTGCCAACACGGTGTGAGCCAGGCCACCCCCGAGTGTCCCATCCACCATCTGAGGTGGTGGTGAGACCCGTAACCCCTCTCCCACCCCAGGGCTGAGAGCCCAGGCACTGCTACGGTTTCCGAGGCTCAGAGCCGGGTAGGGGTTGCAGCCGGGCTGAGCCACAAAGCACGCCGCCCGGCCACCGGGCACGGACAGCAAACACTGGGGCCTCGCTCAGGTCTGAGGACTCCAGAGCCTGTCCCTGTGCAGACCCCGACGTGTGTCGGGGTGATGGACGCCATCCGTGGTACCCGTGGGAACCCCCTCCCCTCCGCTCCCTCCCGCTCCCCCCAGCCAGCTAAGGGGAGCTGAGGAACCTTCTTGTAGGTGGTTTCACCGGACGCGTCCACACCTCGATGGCCCAACTTCTTCCCGTGGCCAGGGCCCGGCTGTGCTGTCATGGACAGGGCCTGGGCAGAGGAAGCAGGAAGCGTTAACTTCATGAGGAGCACCCCCAACAGAGCAGGGCACGCTCCGAAACCCTGGGAAGAAAGGGCTTCGCTGCTGGGCCCTGTAGGGGCGTGCGGAGTAGGGGCAGGTCCGGGCAACTCCAGGGCGCAGCAGGGGACACCTCATTTGCAGGCACCTAATGGGCTGCCTGGGGCCCCTCAGTGTCCCATGCTGGATACCCAGAGGCGCTAACTCCGAGGGGAAGACCTCTGACTCCCCCAGAAGGGCGGGAGGACTGGGCGGCCCCAGCCCCCTTCAGGGTCTCTCCCAGGTGCTGTGGACACTGGGGCCGGACTGCTCTCTGGGGTGGGGCTGCCCTGGCACTGCAGGGTGCTGAGCAGCACCCCTGGCCTCCACCTGCTCCATGCTGGGAGCACCCCCCAGCTGTGACAACCACAGATGTCCCACCGCCCAGTGTCCCCCGGGGACAGGACAGCCTAGTGAGCCCCCTAGGCTAGAAGACCAAGAAGAGCATCTGGCCCCTGAGGGAGAGGGTCAGGGTCAGGCTGGCTCCTGCAGGCTGCCGGGCAGCACAGGCATCTCAGCAGATGGCGTGAGCTGCCTACCCCAGGGCCTCAGCCTGCTGCTCTCAAGGGAGGATATGAGGAGGGGACGTGGGAGTCTGAAGGGACAGAGAGGCCAGCCAGGGAGAATGGCCCTGCCAGGCACCGACACTTAAGGAGCGCCACTGTGTTTCCTCGGAGAGCCCAGGGGCCCTACACCAGCCAGCACCCCCACTGCTCCCCTCGGCGAGACCGTGTCCCACGGCCATCAGCCCCAGTGACGCTCCGACAGCCCTGACCCCTGCCCTGCCCGCCCCTGGCAGCTGATGCTGCTCAGTCGTGTTCTGTGCATTGTCCCGGGCAGCCGCCAGGTGGCAGGCTCTCCCCAGGAACACGTCCAGCCACCTGTGCGGCCCTCCCTGATGCCCCCAGGCAGGGAGTACTCCGAGGAAGGATTCCAGGGTCCCAGTCCAGGTAGACAAAGTCTGAACAGCTTCGGGTATGGACGCAGGGCCCAAGGGCAGCCCAGGTGGGACGAGTGCCCTGGGGACCGTTCCTGGCAATGGGACTCGTGAACAGGTACCCTGCGGGCTGCATGTGGGGAGACAGGGAGACACAGCAGCTGGGGCGCCCTTGGGGAACGGCCCACACCACCCGTGCACACGGGGGCTGGGAAGAAGGCCATGCCATGCCACGGGGCTGGTAGAATCTGCTAAGGCAGGGCCACTGTGCAGAGAGCTCTCCAGAGGAGAGAGGCAGCGACAAGACGGGGAAGGGACTGTGCATACGCCTCCGAGGGACTCACAGATGCTGAGGGCGTGGGTGGAGCTGGGAGCCTCGGGCATCACCCTCTGGGCAGCGTCTGACCCTCTGGCCTGCTCCTCCGTTCCTGCGCCCAGTCCCCCTGCGGGAGCTGCTCTCTCCTCCCCCACCCATCCCCCAGAGTCCTGGCCCCACGTGGCCAGGAGCCCTTCCCACCCCTGCAGCCCTGACCAGCACCCCCGCCACTGGGGGCGCAGCCCCTCAGATGCAGGGCCCTCCTCCATCGCAGAGTTTCACCCTGACTGCTAAGAACGTGGTTGGCGTGGACTCTGTGTCCATCCGCCTGTGGACGGACACTGGATGGCGTCCGGGGCCTGAGAGGTGTAGGGAGCCCCCCAGGCCACACACCTTCTCTGTGGGTAGGGAGGAAGTGGGGCAGGCTGGGGACCCCAGGCCCTTTGTCCCCTCCAGACACTCACCTCTGCCGGGGCTGCCTTCTTCTGAGCTAAACCTGCAGGAGACATAAGCCAGATATCAGACTGGGCCTAGTGACCCCTGGGAGCCCCGGGCCCAGCCCCCAGCCCACTTCCTGGCCCCTCAGGCCTGGCATGTGTAAGTACATGTGGGGCCTGTCTCAAGGGTACACAGTCGGGAAAGACGCAGACTGAGTATGCTGGGAGGGATGTGACGAGGCTGGGGCCGCTGGGGCCTGCCACGGTCACCCCGGTCAGGGCCCCTGGGGCCTAAGCAGGAGAGAGGCTTTGCAGCCTCAGGGAAGTGAGCGGCTGGCGACGCCCAGGCTCGGCACCTACCAGAGGGCCTGGGGCTTCTGGAGGAGAGGGGAAGTGGGGAGCAAACCGCCCCCGCTCTGACCCCTTCACGCCCACACATCAGGTTCTGAGCAGTCCCTGAAGAGACAGCTCTGAACTGAGCAAGCCCTGCTTCCCTGGAAGCAGGTGCCAGGAGACGCTCAGTCACGGGGAATCAGGTGCCAGCTCGGGAGAGGGACGAGGGCAGGTTGGAGTTGGGGAGGGCCCAGCCCCCGAGCGGCCGCAGTCAGTGGGAGCTAGCTAGGGGTCCCCAGGGCTGGCGCCCAACCCGCCCATCTCCAGGGAGAGATTTGTGGACGGATAAGGGAGGCTGTGAAGAGCGCTCAGCCCTGCCCTGGCTCCTGGGCCCACAGCCTCCAGTCAGTGCCCGCAGAGGCGTGCAGGGCAAAGCTCCAGAGAGGCCGATGGGGGCCTGCTGGGTTGAGCCACCGCCCGGGCCCTGGCTGAGCCAGGAGTGCCTCCCTCCACGAAGAGGAGGCTGAGATGAGGGGCAGGTGAGACTCGGCACCTGGGACCCAGGCCCATGTCCCTAACCCTGGCTCCTGGCAGCGGGGCCCCGGGGTTCTCATCTGGACAGTGGGCTTCCCTGGAGGGTCTTCTGCTCAGAGCTGTGGTGGGCAGAACACGCTCCACCAGGACTCACCTGCCTTGATCGTCAAACAGACTCTACAGCTGTGATAAGGGCCCTGAGACCGGTGGGCGGGTGGGGGAGGTGATCCCGGGGGACCCGGGCCCCCATGTCCTCATGGGGTCCTCACGAGAGGAGTGGGGGAGTCAGAGAGAGACTGGAAGAGGCTGTGAGGTGGCTGTGAAGGGGGAGGATGGGCCCCAGGCCAACGGATAGACCGACCCCGGCGCCCCTAGGCGCTGGGAGAGGCGGAAATGGAAATTCCCCCCTGCAGCCTCTGGTGGGCCCAGCCCTGTCCCACAGCTTGACTTTAGCCTGGTGAGGCCCGCCCCAGAGTCCTGAGGTAGGAGGCGATCTCGGTGACTGCAGGGAACGCACACGCTGGCGTCCACCACGTGGGACCGGGCCAGACCTGGTTTCACCCTCAAGGGGCTCACAGTCAGCAGAGGTGGGCACAGGGCCAGGTGCTTGATGTGGGGTGACAGGTGGGGTGTGGATCAGCAAGGGAGGCTTCCTGGACAGGTTGTGTCTGGGCTCAGTGCAGAACAAAGATGCAGTGGGGAGCGGGAGGGAGTTCCAGGCCCAGGGAACAGCGCGGCACAAAGGTCACAAGGGGGCTGAGGCCACGGTGCTGCTGCACGGGTCACACAGCATCCTCCAGGCTCAGTGAAGGCCGCAGCAAGGGAGGACTCCCTGTGAGATTCCGATGCTGGCACCACCCGGGGCCCAGGGCATGGACACAGATTCTTTCAGTAACACGGTGATGGGGGGCCCAGCGCTGCCAGCCTCTTCTCATTCCATCCTCCCTCCCTAGAGGAGGCTGAGGGTCGGGAGGTGAGGCTGACGGAAGTCTTCCAGCTGGGGAGCGGGGGCAGGCTCTCACACGGGCTTACTGGAAGCCGGCGTGCCCTGCTCCCAGGGTGCAACCCTCTGGCCAGCTCCCTGCTCTGGGCTGGGCAGCAGTGAGCCGAACTGGTGGGGCCCTGGCTTCCAGGCCAGCCGAGGTGAGCAGGGGAGCCCAGGACCCGTGAGGGGCCAACCAGGTGAGGCTCAGGGAGGTGCAGACACGTGAGGAGGTGGGTGCGGAGTCCGAAAGGGTGGAGGCCCGGCTGGGCGTGGATGCGGGAGAGGGGACGGGAGAATTTCCCCGAGAGACAAGAAGCCCTTCCAAGCCAAGACAGTCAGCAGAGAACGCAGAGAGGGAGGGAGTCCCTGTTTAAGACTCGGAAGGTAATGCAGAGGGAGGGGCTGACCCACCCCAGGTCACACAGAGGGGAGGCAAAGTCAAACCCCGGCCTGGGTCGCGATGCCCCGCCCTGTCAGCCCTGCCAGCGCCCTGGCCCCCGTGGGCACTGTGCCGCTCTTGGTGGGTGCGCTGGAGACCCACATGTGCGTCCCCTGGTGACTGCCCTGCTGTCTGAAACACGTCTCCGCAGGCACTGAAGGCAGCTGAACACAGCTGCGTGGGGCCCATGGCTTTGTTCTGCACCTGGGTCGGAACCGCCAGAGACACAGTGAAGGTACAGGGTGGCAAACTCTGCGGGGTCAGGCTTGGGGGCAGGCACAGGCCGGGGAGGGAGCCTCAACTGAGACGCGGGTAAGGCCTGTGACCACAGTCAGTCCCCATGCCTGCCTGGGGGTTCCGGATTGGGCAGTGTGCCCCCACGTTCACGTCCCTCAAAGAACCTCAGCCGGCAACCTTATTTAGAAACAGTGCTGACGTCACTGGGTAAGATGAGGTCGTGCTGGAGTGGGGCGGGGCCTAGATCCGTGGCGGCTGCTGTCCTTATAAGAAGCCCCACGGAGAGGCCAAGACGCCTGGGGATGGAGGCAGGGCGGGAACCGCTCCTCCAAGCCCAGAAACGCCAAGGATGCCCGGGGGCACCAGGAGCAGAGGAGGTGTGGAGAGAGTTTCCCCCCGTTGGAGGGTGCAGCCCTGCCCACACCGGGAGCTGGGCTCCGGGCCTCCAGAGCCGGGTCAGAACAAACGCCTGTTCACGGTCTGCGGCTCTGCCACCCAGTCCCCAGGACTCTGGGCAGCCCAGGCCCTCCCCCGACTCTCCAGTGAGGATCCACCCTGGGTGGGACGGATGTACCTCTCAAGGCAGCTCGAACAGTGGAAGGGTCCCCTCCTCGGGCCACCTGGGCGCCCTGCAGGGCTGGGCGGGCACGGACGGGGTTGGGGCCCTGGAGGGGTCTGCGGATGAACCTGCTCACCGCAGGGGCCAGAGGGAGGGGGCGGGTCAGGGGCGGAGCGAGTGAGGTGACTCAGGGAGCCGCCTCTCTGTCCTTGCGAGGACCGAGGCCGGTCACCCCCAGGTCTCTGACAGGCCACGAGGGTCACTCCGGGCTGGGGGCCAGAAGGTGCTGGAGGCTGACGTGATGTTTGGGTTGGCGGCCTGAGCAGAACAATTCACGGTTTTGCGTACATGGTGTGGGGGAAGGAAAGGAGAGGGCAGACAGCCAGCGGCAGGCAGGGCAGCCCTTCCAGACCTCATCGGGCCGCCACGGTCCTGACTCCACTACCGAAACGGCCCCTCTGAGCCCCCCATGCCCACAGGAGCGACTCGGCTGTTTTCCTCGGTGGCTGGGGTGGAGGAAGGCGCCCTGGGTCCGCCCTGCCCAGACTGTCCCGGGCTTCCTACTGGCCCAGGACCAAGGGGAGGCAGCGAGGCCCTCCCGACCTGGCTCTGCCGACCTCACCAGGAACCTCACGGTCACCTGTGTTGTGTCTGGGCCCCCGCCTCAGTTTCTCTCCTTGGCTCCATGTCTTCATCTGCCCAACTTGCCTGAGCCGGCTGACAATGGGGAGAGGAGAGGGGTGGCTGGCTCGGGCCCTGCTGGGAAGGTCTGTGCACTGGGGACCTGGTGGGTTGAGGGACCAGACTGAAGCCCCAGGCAGGAGCAGGGCAGGAGGGGGAGGCGGAGGCACTGGGCTGGGGGACCTGGGGAAAATGCGGTGCTCCCAGGGCAGATAGGAGGGGCCGGCAAGGAGAGGCAGAGCCGAGTACCCCGTGGAGGAGAGGGGGCCGAGGAGGAGGCAGTCTTGGAGCCACTGCCCTGGCCGGGGCGTGGGCAGCTGGGCACCATCTTTGCCCCGCCCCTACTTCCTGTGAGGCCACCCCCCGGGCACAGAGCCTGCTGTGACCCCCATCAGGGGCCACCATGACGTTGAGCGCTGCTCAGCCTGAGACGTGACTAATTATCTGCTGAATGAGCCACCTCGTTTTCGAGGAAATTAAGTTTTAAAAATAGTCGGGGGAGGAAAGGCGAGCTGTGCTGTGGAGCCGGGAGGTGGGCCCCTCAGCCCATGGCTGCCAGGGGGACGGGCGGGCAGGGGCACCTCAGGCATGTTGGCCAGGGTGGGGGGGTAGCCAGGGTTTCATCTCTCCCTCTCCCCACTCTCGAGGGGCAGCAAGGCCCCTGGGCCTCCACGCCAGCCTCTGCTGCAGCCGCCCACTGTGTGGCCTCAGATGAGTCCTGCAGGTCTCTGAGCAGTTTACTCCGCCTGGGCTGAGGCCCCCTCTCCCGGCCCTGTCACAGGACCCGGTGGCGCCCCGGGCCTGCGGCACACACGGTGCGAAGTGCTTGCTGCACGGGGATCTCACCGGCCACCCGCGCCGGGCCTTCTCTCTCAGCCACAGTCTCTTTGCCTGCAAAGTATGGCTAAAGCCAGCATGAACCCTTGAGGCACTGCCACTCTCCATGAGGCCACACAGCCACCTCTGCACCCAACACACAGCCTCAGGCCACCTCTGCACCCGACACACGGCCTCAGGCCACCTCTGCACCCGACACACGGCCACAGGCCACCTCTGCACCCAAAAACACGGCCACAGGCCACCTCTGCACATAGCACAGGACCACAGGCCACCTCTGCACGCAGCACGGGACCACAGGCCACCTCTGTACCCAGCATGGGACCACAGACCACCTCTGCACCCGGCACACGGCCACCTCTGCACCTGACACACAGCCACAAGGCCACCTCTGCACCCAGCACAGGACCACAGGCCACCTCTGCACCCGACACATGGCTACCTCTGCACCCGA